AATCCGGATGGCTTTTGTGATGCGTGTTGAGTTCGGAGGAAGTTCCTTGATACCTACTGAGACTGGAGGGCAGATAAAGGCCCTAAAGAGTCCAAAAGTTCTGTTAGTAATGCTGACACTAAAAGGTTTCTGGTTAAAGATTTTCCTGGAGGCTACTAGAGCTCTCAGACTCACACAATAAGTGAGTATATTTTGTAAACCAAAAATAGGGCACATACTCTAAATAAGGGAATTTTCTGACTTTTTACTTCATCTATATGAGAAGTCTTACAGAAACATATATGGAAAAATATGGAAACACATTATACCTGTTTATGATACACAAATGAATCTTTTAAAAATGAAAAACAAAAGCAAAAGCACAAAACCATTCCTGAAAATTGAGGGTCAGTTTACAAGCAGCAGCTGAGTGCTATTACATTATAATAAGCAGCATGGGCACCTGAGAAGTTTCTGAAAGTGGGAGAAAGGATGACTTGGAGAAAGACAAGGGTCAACTTTCACAGTTTCCATTTTTTTTTAATGTGCTAAACTTGAAATGTATTGGCAAGTCACATGGATTCACACATCCAAATTTGCTTTATTTCTGTGTTCTTATATAATTTCCTCAAAGTAGATTCACACTTTCTATGGAGCAACCAAATCCGCATCCTTTTATTTCATACATTACACACTTGTAAATATCTAATGTCATACTTTTAAAACTAACTACATCTCTTAATTCCCTTAATGTACAATCAGAAAGCATTTCTGTCCAATCTTGTTCTGTAAAGATTCTCAAATCAAAGGAAGTCTGTTAATAAGTAATTTTGTGACGTGAAAAAAAAGAACAGCATTTTAAACTAAGATGTTTGTTTTTTCTGACCAGAAATTAATACCAAGGGCACTTCAAGAGACATGATAAGTAGTCCCCAAAAAACAAATTGTGTTTCAAAGTTCATTTTTAAGGTGAAATGTAGTTTTTAGATTATCAAACTAATCTATAAAAAACTAGGAAATGATTATGCCAAACTAGTCTATGAAATCTAATTTATCAATGATCTGGTACCATAGTGCCTAAGGCATTTGACTGCTAACCAGAAGGCTGGCGGTTCAAACCCACCAGCCACTCCTTGGAAGGAAGGTTGGGCAATCTACTTTCGTAGTGATACTGCCTCGGAAACCCAAGGACAGGTCGCTATGAGTCAGGTCTGACTCCACAGCACATAACAACAACAACAGTTAAATGGTAGATAAAAATCAGAAAATACCTATGATTCTCAAACAAAATATAACAGAAAAACAAATAGAATGTTAAATATTGACATTTCAAGAAATAAGTTTTGATCTAATTTCTCTAACTAAAGATGTATAAATTCTGGGTACTTTTAAAGTCTCTGTTATTATTGTTGTTATGTGCCGTTGAGTCGGACCCGACTCATAGAGACCCCTCCTTGGGTTTCTGAGGTGGTATCACTAAGGAAGTAGATTGCCCAAGCTTCCTTCTGAGGAGTGGCTGGTGAGTTTGAACTGCCAGCCTTCTGGTTAGCAGTCAAGTGCCTTAGGCACTACACTGTTGTTGTTATGTGCCGTCGAGTAGGCCCCGACTCAAGGCAGTATCACTACGGAAGTAGGATTGCCCAACCTTCCTTCCGAGGAGTGGCTGGTGGGTTTGAACCACCAGCCGTCTGGTTAGCAGGCAAGTGTCTTAACCACTATGCTACCTACCAGAGCTAAATCTCTAGAATCTAATAATATTGATGCACTTTAAATTTTATTTATGGAGGCTGTATCACTCTCCTGTATTAACTAAGATTAAATGACAATGCTTAAAACACTTAGCCCAAGTCTGGCACAAAGTAAGCTATATAAAAAATTATTAGTAACTGGGCAGAAATTTGAGGGAAAGGCAGTAAACAAAAGTTAAGAGAGTATGTGAGTACATCCAGGAAAAAAAGAATTGCCTGAGATGGTATTAACTAAGGTGTTTTCCAATCTTCCTTTCCAGAACACCTGGATCTGAGGTCCCTGGAAGCCACAATTGTGCAAGGGAGTCAAAGTTTACCCCTTGATTTGGTTAGACTTGCCTGGAACAAAGGCTAACGAGGCTTCGAACCAGTTCCTTCTGGGTTTGACACTGCTGAGAATTTGCCTTTCCATTCCAGATATACTGAATCAGATCTACAATTTAACCAAGCCCCAGGTGATTTTTATGTATTCATCTGTAAGGCTCTGTACGAGTCACCTGGGATCTTAAAAATGTGGATTCTAATTCAATACATCTGATGTGGAAAGGCAAGTTCTCAGCAGGGGGTCAAACTGGAATGAACCAGCTGAAAGCCAAGGCTAACTAAGTCCACAATCTAAGTGGAAGTAATCTTGGGAAGCAAGGGACAAGTCAGAAATAAAATGGACACTAAGAACTGAATCCCAAATGCTCCCACAGATGGAGCCAGCACATTCTCAAGGCAAAGGCTAAAGTATTTTCCTAAAAAAACAAGACAGGGATAGGCACCACAGCTGCACAAGCAGGCTTTTGCAGTATCTCTTTGGCTAAGTCTGTGGGCAAGGCTGTTAAAAGCACTGAATCAGTTTGACAATGTGAGCATTAGTAAGAAATGGGCAGAGAATGGTACGTGCTTAATCTTATTAAAGAGAGAAGAGAGGAGACATCATTTATTGGATTAATCTAGTGGTTTACAAACCAGAATGGACATTAGAATCCCTCAGGTATTCCTTTAAAATGCAGAGTCTTATGCCCCATCCTTAAAGATTCTGACTGTATAGGTCTGTTTGGTTTTTATTTTTAAATCATCTCAGATGAATATTATGTTCAGCCAAATTTGAGATTTACCAATTTAGAGTTCAGTTCAATAGATTAACCTTTGAAATACATTTTGATTACCATATTTATCACATAGAATGCATACATAAATAATAAGCACATGCATAAAATGTGCATAGCACGTATGGGAAACTAGTCTGTGAGGGTTGTGCAGTGGGTGAATAAACCCTATGTGCATGTTATTTGTGGAAAATACAGTACAGAGCGTTTTCAAGTTATTATCTCAAAAAGTAATACTGTGAAGGGGCTGGTTTAGAAAAATTATATACATAAAATATATAATCATATCCATTTTTATACAATAAATAATATAATGTAAACATTTCTAAAAACCATAGTAAACCCAAAGCAAAGCCCAAAGTAAATTGAGTTTCTTCAAATATGAAAGATAAAGGGCTTTTTGTTTTGAAAAAAATAATAGAAAGCTGTGCTTTCTTGTCTTAAAATCTGAAATTTAAAGATAACATCCAATATTGCTACTATAAAGAAAACAAGCCACAGTATTGTTTTTTTTTTATTGAAGAGTTCAGTCTTTTCATAATTGAAAGAATTGCATGATTGATTAAATACTATCCAAAACATTCCATTTAATGTTTCTAAATGCAGCCACACACCTGAGTATTTTGAATTGTATACACAAATCTATTAGCAGTTTAAACTCACCAACATTTATATTATGCTTCTTTAATAGAATCTGAGATGAACCACTAGTAAAATAGGTTACAAGATTCGAATTTTATGATGAGTTGGTCTGCTGAAATGTAGTATTCATACAAGGAATTTTTAATTTATTTTTTTATAAGTGAAAATTCTACACTGTGCCAATCTGTTTTTGCATATTATTTAGAAAATGCTAGTAAGGCTTTATTTTAAGGAATTACAAAAAAAAGATATCCTATTGAGGACCACGGATGATGCAGAAAATAATGGTTTACAAATAATTGTTGAAGAAATAAAGGAATTATAGTTTTCCTTTCATTATGGGCTTTCCAAAATCACAGGTATTTTTCAGATTAAAGTTAGATTAAAAATTAATGGAAAATTAATTAATTAAAATTAATTAATTAAAAATTAATGGAAAATCTGCAGTTCAACAACTTCAGCTTTTTTAGATTTAAAAAAGAAACAGAGTAGATGATTCTAACCATAGTCTAACGAAAATGTTGCTTTGAGGGAAAATCTTGACTCACTGCTTCATTTTTTCTTACAGCTTTTTCTTTGCTTGCTTACTATAAAATAATCCATTGTTACTGAGAGGACAATTTCTGATTCAGTTCCAAGGCTCTTGTATCTCCGTGAGTTTTGGCATTGTTCACTAGAACCTGTAGGAAATCACATACAGCAACATTATTAGTTTCTATTAACGACATCTCTATTCACTTTCATAGAAGCCATTCCTAGGTTGGCAATCTTCAAACGGCATATCAAACTACACAAGAGAAACTGATTAAATATAATCTTCCTGTCACTTTTGCTGAAATAAATTGTTCAACTAAAGCTAGTGCCAGAGAAAAGCACAATCTATTCAAATGTTCGTTATCACTGTATAAAGGTTTTATTTGGTAGCTTTGTTTACAATACTGTCACCTCTAAACACTTACCCAAAATGACCATTTTATACGCAGAATTGAACAAATGACTTCACCCTCCTTTAAAACTACAGCTCAAGATCGGGGGTCTAATTTCTAGGCTCTGTCAAAAATTGTTCTATGATTTCCACCAACTCTACAAACTAAGGGAGTGCTGGTGGCGTAATGCCTAAGGTATCTGACTGCTAACCAGAAGGCTGGTGGTTGAAAGCCACCAGCCACTCTTCGGAAGGAAGACTGGGCCATCTACTTCCAAAGAAATACCACCTCAGAAACCCAAGGAGGGGTTGCTATGAGTCAGTTTCGACTTGTTGGCAATGAGTTTCGTTTTGGTTTTTGGCTACAAACTAAAAGAATCAGTTTCAGCTGATCATTTAATTACTAAAACATTTTTTGGTAATTTATTGTCAAGAAATGTGAAGTGTCTAAGATTTTATTCTATTTGCAATCTAACAAATTAGCCTGTCACAATTTTCCCTGCCATAAGACATGGGACTCCTGGGTCAGAGGCAAATAGGTACATAGGATGAGGTTAAGAAGTAGTAGAATCTAATGAGACGTTCATGGTAGAAATCTGGATCAGAGGCATAGGACTTTATCCCTCATGGTACAGCAAGTTGTATGAGCATCAACTTATTTAATTCCTGGAATCATCCCATGAGAAGTAGAGAATTTATCACATGCATTCTGTAGAATAGGAAGAAGTAACATTTTTTTTTTTTTTTTTTTCAAACATGATAAAAGTCACTTTTTATTGAATAAGGAGCTCTGGTGGTATAGTGGTTAAAACATTTGGTTGCTAACCAAAAGGTCAGTGGCTTAAACCCACTAGCCACTCTGCAGAACAAAGATGAGCAGTCTGCTTCTGTAAAGATTTACAGCCTTGGAAACCCAGTGAGGGTTGCTATGAGTTGGAATTGACTCGATGGCAGTGAGTCTGGTTTTTCCATATTGAATATATTTATAAATTATGTATCCAGATTTTTACCAATGAACACCCAATTAGATTCTACTATCTCTTAGGAGCTCTGGTAGCATAGTGCCTAAGGCACTTGACTGCTCACCAGAAGGCTGGCGGTTCAAACCCACCAGCCACTCCTCGGAAGGAAGGTAGGGCAATCCTACTTCTGTAGCGATACTGCCTCGGAAACCCAAGGAGGGGTCGCTATGAGTCGGGGCCTACTCGATGGCAAACAACAACAACATCTCTTAACCTCATCTTATCTATTTGCCTGTATTACAATGGCCATTAAAAATATCACAACCAGCATCTAGCACCTTTGTCTTTTTTCTAATTTGACATGACACATAATAAGCACATCTTATCTACAGGTTACCACTGGTTAGTGGTTCTCAACCAGGGCAATTACACTCCAGGGATCATTTGGCAATGTCTAGAGAACATTTTTGGTCATCACAAGTTTGTGCGTGCATGTGTGTGTGTGTGTGTATGTGTGTGTTCTAGGGGCAGGAGAGAACACTGCTACTGGCATTTAATGGTTAGAAGTCAGAGATGCTACTTGTGGTGCAGTGAATTACTTGGTTTGGCTTTTCTACCTAGGCTTTGTGACTCCCACCAGATTACTGGGTGAGACTATGCAGATAAGGTGTACGGAACTCTAATGTAAGGATGGGTTTTGCGATGTTGCTGGGCTTAAAATGAGACCTCCTAGACGCAGAAGGTGGGATTCTCACTGCCATTGAGAGAGAACAGCCAGAGGTGGAGTACAGTGGAGCCCATCCTTGGACCCGAGATCCCTGTGCTGGACTATCTTGGCAGAGAGATGGCTGAGACAATGGGCAGAGAGGACTTGCTGGCAGAGCAGGGTGCACCTAGGTGTACCTACTGGCAGAGTTGAAAGAGCTTTGTAATACTTGCCCAAGCAGGGCAGAGGCCAGGCCGAGAGGCCAAGGGCCAGAGAGGCATGCCTGAGGGCACAGCAGAAAGGAGACTGTTCTGATCGAAGAACTATATCCTGAACATATTCCTGAACCTGAGTTGTAGGCTATTCAACCAAACTCACTGCCATTGAGTTAATTCAACTCCTAGCAACTCTTCCTTAGGTTTCTGAGGCAGCATCTCTACAGAAATAGATTGCCCAATCTTCCTTCAGAGGAGTGGCTGGTAGGTTTGAACAGCCAGCCTTATGGTTAGCAGTCAAATGCCTTAGGCATTACGCCACCAGAGCTCCCTGTAGTCTATTACTTCCCTAATAAACCCCATAATCATGAGTGTTGCATGTGAGTTGTGTGTGGCCACTGCAACCAATTATCGAACCCAGAAGAGAAGTAGTGAGTGCTGTGGGAGGAACAGCTTGGTGTCAGAACAGGTAAAAAGGCTGGAGGGTGGCAGCATATCTGGCTTCATAGGAATAAGCCTTAGGCTGTTAATGGTGATTCTGTCTCCCTCTTGTGAAGTTAGAGGAGATCAGAAGATGCCTCTTTTGCACTGTTAAACATCCTACAATGCACAGAACACTCCCCAGCCCCAACAAGGAATTATCCAGCCAAAATTCCAACAGTGCCAAGGTTGGGAAATTCTGGGTCTATCAAATCCAAGCTCAAGACAAGATGAATGTGAGTAGGCAAAAACAATGCCATTATTGTAATGTTGATACAAGACCAGTACCAACTCATGCATTTTCTTCCCTTTGGTTTACTGCTTGGCTATTTCTATTTAGACTTGCCTCTTGCTAAAATTTTTAACTGTTCACATTTCTAATGATAAAGTATAGTACAGGTATGAAAATAATGAGAGAAAAGGAGTTTAGTGAAACAAGCCTTTCTGGCAAAAAAAGAAAAGAAAAGTCTATCTTTGGTACTGCTTTAGGTTGGGTTTAGATGGTCGTATGTTTGCACTGCTATAAATTCTAATAAATAAGGGCTTCAGACCAGCAGTTCTCAGCTTGTTTTATAAACCTCAGTACATCTGATAGCTGACTTTTGTCATATTCACATTGCTTCACTGGTACAATACCACCTATTAGGCAAACCTCTTGTAATTCTACTCTTCTTTGTCACTTAAGAAAGCTTATAAAAATAAATTGATAGAGACATATGTAAGGATATCCTGAATCTGCTCTATTTTATTACATGAAAAATACACAACCATTTGCCACCTGTGGTTAGTATCCAATCCTTACAATATCTTGAACAACTGATCATGAATCTTGATCAAGGTTCTAAACTACCACCCTACACCTTCTATACTTGCTATTAGTGGCTGGCTTTGAAACGGTTATGCTTAAATAATAATAAAATATGTGTTGTTGTTGTTATGTGCTGTTGAGTTGGACCCAACTCACAGTGACCCCTCCTTGAGTTTCCAAGGCTGTATCACTATGGAAGTAGATTGCCCAACTTTCCTTCCAAGGAGTGGCTGGTGGGTTTGAACCACGAGCCTTCTGGTTAGCAGTCAATTGCCTGCACCAGAGCTCCTAATAAATTGTGTAGTTTCCCCCCAAAAAAAGCATCTGCATAGGTAGAGGGTAAAGCTACATAAAATTATTTTTAAACAAAGCCTTAACAGCCTTGTTTATTATGCCAAGGTACACCAATTTGGCTTCTGTTCCAATATCCAAATGGGGATTTCATAATTAACCCATGGTAAGATGCAGACTATATATATCTAATCTTTAAGCCATGTGTATATAAATGTTTCTCTACTCAACAGCCACAACAGTAGACACTGTAGTCTTCCGTAGGCCAAAAAAATACATACTCGTTTTCTTAAAATTGAATTATAAAGTGGAATAATTTTGAAAATATCTCTAACACACTTAAGTATGAATGCAATAATTTTCAAAAAAACAATTCCTTACATCAATTAGTTCGTAGTCATCTTTAGCATATAAGTGTCTCAGTAGGTACCAACGAGCAGTTGACACAATTGATTTGGGGTACCCAGGCTGATACACCACTCTCTCCAAAAGTCGTCGTGTCTCTCTGTGGAAGAAATTTTTATAGTTAGTCCAAAGCATATAAATTGATATAAGGTACTTCATGTATTAGTATCTCATACATTGCATAATTCTTTTATTTTTTGGTAGACATAGTATCTGACCACTTCATGAATTTATTCAGATTACAAGGTAATAATGGTTAAGCTTTATTAAGTGCTTACTATGTGTTAAGGAGCTCTGGTGGTGCAATGGTTAAAGCATTCAGTCGCTAACCAAAAGGTCAATGGTTCAAGCTCACCAGCTGCTCCACAGGAGAAAGATAAGGCAGTCTTCTGTAAAGATTTACAGTCCTGGAAAGCCTGGTATAACCCCTGAGACTATGGTCCCTAGCTGCCCTTCAGGTCTGGAATTGAACTATTCCTGTGATTTCCAGCCAAACAAAAGCAAGCATATGAGCTGAACATTTATATTAGGTAGATAAACTCCTTGGAGAGATCAATCATGGGAGAATAGAAGGGCTGTGTATGCACAGGAAGACAGCTCTGGTAACAGGAGTGCATAGGAGGGAAGGACACAGGGAAGAGGTGGCTATGGGGAGGAAGTGGCAGGAGAGCTGTTGCACTGTGGGAGATTACAGTCAATGTTGTCAGACAAAGTATATGTGAACTGCTGTATGGAAGATGAATTTGCTGTGTAAACTGTCACAGAAATTACGTTAAAAAAAAAGACTTGCAGCCTTTGAAACTATACACAAACTCAACGCAACACACTGCCATCGAGTCGGATCCAACTTATAGTGACCCCTCCTTGGGTTTCCAAGGCGGTGTCACTACAGAAGTAGATCGCCCAAACTTCCTTCGGAGTGGAAACTCTATGGGGAAGTTTTACTGTCCAATAGGGTCGTTATAGTTAAAATTGACTCAATGGCAGTGGTTTGGTTTAGTTTAGTACTATGTGCTAGGTATTATGCTAATAGTTTGACACAGATTTAGTACTTAGTATTTATACTCACAACCTTATAAGTTAGGTCACTGTTATTATTCTCATTTTGTAGATAAGTAAATTATGCTCTTTCCAAAAAGAATGGGGAAAAGACTCCTATTTTATGAGCACTTGTGAGTGGTCTTCTTCTAATCATTTTGGAAAAGAAAATAAGCAGAAAAAAAACATAAATCACTAAATAATACAAACATGATGTAGAATGGAAAGGAGAAATATTTAACATCTACACTAGGAGTTTAGTGTATAATACCCAGCTTTTAGTGCACGTTTTGAAGGCTATGTGGAATACATGCACCTATGTAATAAGATGCTGATTTACAGTTGTGTTTTGTGTTTTTCCTTCCTAACTTGCTAACGTCTATGACTCCATAACTTCTGTATTAGTAAAAACAACATAAATAGTGCTAACTTCAGAACTATGAAATAGGAGAGTGTAGCAATTGATTTGAAGTAGGAGCTAAAGAATTTATCTTAAAAATGCTTTTGCACAGGAAGCACACAGTAAGCACACTTTTTCCTTAGACTATATGCATTTTGGGAGCTGGTTTTGGAGGAGACAGCCATGTGGGAAGGGCTGAAAGAGATATAGGGATGGGGCTAAAGCCCTCGACGCCACCCCACTGGGCATAAGCAGAGATTTTTAGGGATTTTAAATCACAGCCTAAAACACTTCTTGGTAAAATTAGTCACAGAAGGAAAAAAATAAATATATATTAGTAAATTTTAAGGGTATTATTGTAAATTAGCCATATTGTCTTATTTCTTCCTTCATTCCTGTTTTGTGAAGTATCCTTTGCCATATATTTATATCTGAAGCTCTAGTTCTACAATACCTGTTTTGTCCCAGTAACATTTACTCCTAAACCACCATTTACTTGAGATTGTTTTGTATTTGCTTGATATCTATTAGAACTAGATATTAATTTCAGAATTTTAAATATTCTCCTCTGTTTATTCAAACATACTCTAAGTCTTTTTTTTCAAATATATTTCTAACCCTATGACCATTCTCCAACAAAAGTATTTGAAGAATTTTTATATTTTAATCTGAGAAGCATTTGGATTTCTTAGATGTAAAATTACATTATTTATAAACAACATGTCTCTGCTTCTTCAATGTTTTTGCTATTAAGTGCCACTGAGTCAGCTCAGACTCAAAGTGCCCCTATGTACAACAGAATGAAACTGTCTGTCTGGTCCTATGCCATCCTCACAAGCATTGCTATGCTTCAGCCCACTGCATCAATCTATCTCATTGAGGGTTTTCCCCTTTTTTGCTGACCCTCTATGATATCATATGGATATCATACCAAGTATGGTGTCCTTCTCCAGGGACTGGTCCCTTCTAAGAACATGACCACAGTATGAAAGATGAGATCTGGCCACTGTTGCTTCCAAAGAACATTATGGCTGTATTTCCTCCAAGACAGATTTGTTTGTTCTTCTTGCAGTCCATAGTACCTTCAATATTCTTCACCAACACCACAATTCAAAAGCTTTAATTCTCCTGCAGTCTTTCTTATTCACTGTCCAGCTCTCACATGCATATGAAGCTATTGAAAATACTACGGCCTCGGTCAGGCACACTTTAGTCTTCAAAGTGACACCTTTGCTCTTAAACACTTTAAAAAGGTCTTTTGCAGCAGTCTTTCACAGCAGATCTGCCCAGTGCAATACATAGTTTTATCTCTTCACTGTTGCTTCCATGGATGTTGAGTGTGGATCCAAGTAAAACAAAATCCTTTACAACTTCAATCTTTTCTCCATTTATCATGAGGTTGCTTATTGGTCCAGTTGTGAGGATTTTTGTTTTCTTGATGTTGAGGTGCAATCCATACTAAAGGCTATATCATCTTTGATCTTCCTCAGTAAGTGCTTCTAGCCTTCTTCATTTTCAGCAAGCAAGGTTGTGTAATCTGCATACTGCAGGTTGTTAACGAGTCTTCCTTTGATGCTGATGCTACATTCTCCTTCATGTAATCTGACTTCTCTGATTATTTGCTCAGCATGAAGACTGAATAAGTATGTGGAAAGGATACAACCCTGACACAAACCCTGACACACCTTTTCTAATTTTCAAGCATGGAGTATCCCCTTGTTCTGTTTGAACAACTGCCTCTTGATCTATGTAAAGGTTCCTCATGAGTGCAATTAATGTTCTGGAATTCCCATTCTTTGCAGTGGTATCCATAATTTGTTATGATCCACATAGCAAGATGACTTTGCATAGTCAATAAAGTACAGGTAAATATCTTTCTCCTATGCCTTGCTTTCAGCCAAGATCCATCTGACATCAGCAATGATATCCCTTGTTTCACACTCTCTTCTGAATCTGGCTTGAATTTCTGGCCATTCTCTTTCACTGTACTGCTGCAACCATTTAAAAATTATTTCCAGCAAAATTTTACTTGTATGAGGTATTAATGATATGGTTTGATAATATCTGCATTCTGCTGGATCACCATTCTCTGGAAGGGCACAAATATGGATCTCTTCCAGTAGGTTGGCCAGGTAGCTATCTTCCAAATTTCTTGGCACAAACAAGTTAGCACCTATAGCACTGTACCCATTTTTTGAAACATCTCACTAGGTACTTCATTAATTCCTGAAGCCTTGTTTTTTTCCAATTCCTTTAGTGCTACTTGGACCTCCTCCCTCAATACCGTTTGCTCTCAATCATATGCTCCCTCCAGAAATGGCTGAACATCAACCAATTCTTCAATAGTCATGACTTTTTCACAGCTACTGTATCTTCAAGAACTTACACTAATGTAGCCTAGGACTTAAGACTTTTTGATTTTGTTTGTTTCTAGAAGCCACATCACACTGTTAGCTCATTCTGATACTGTGGAAAACAAACACTCTAAGCCCTTCTTTACTTGAAATGTTGTCAAGCCAAACCTCTCTGTTGTCCTGTGTACCTAGATCTTTTTTTTAAACAAATATAAGACCTCATTTCTTCCCTTAATGAGTTATTAGAACTAGTTTTTACAAAATTGATATAGCTATATGAACAACCTCAAAGCGTATAATATCAATGTGTTAAACCAACTATAAATCGTTCTTTTTTTTTTTTTCTTAGAAGGGATGAAAGGGAAAAAGTATTTCCAAGAAAGAAAATGAACAAAGATTCTTCATACCTTGCCCCAATTTTGCGATTGAATTGCAACAAAGCTTGTATAAGAACAGCCAGTGGACAAAAGCAAAGCTTCAAGGCCTCAGTTGTAGCTTCTCGAACCAAGGATGGCCAGTGATCATTGGAAATATTAGCCTGTAAAAATACAAGACAAATATTAAATCAAAGCTTTTGACATGTTTACTTTAAGAGTAAGCAATTCCACTCTGATTAGTGAGCATCGACCTGGACAAGTCAGCATATGAAGGCTGCAGAGAAGGTAATTACTGAAAAATGACAGAGATCCGATGCCTTCCCTCAAGACGCTACAAAACTCAGTAGCGTAGGATAAAGGAAAGTTTCAAAGAAGAGGCATTATTTCAAAAACACTAATATATTTTTTAAAAGAAAATAAACTATCATTTAGTAAGCCTTTGGTCTACCAAACACAAAAAACCACATTTAACATGACCAATTCTTTAACTTATAGTGATAAATATAAAGTTCCACATTTTGGAAACTAGCTAAGGAGAGGGAAAAGGCTGAAATAAAATATTCTAATGAAACCCTAACAGGAAAAAAAGTGTGAAAAAGATAACAAATAAAAAAAATTAAAGTTACCAATTCTGAAAACATTTTAGAAATTTCACTTTATGGTAAAAATGTTAATGTATCTGTGTGTGCATGTATTTGTTTTAGTGTCGATAAAGCCTTCGAAAAGAAGCAGGTTACAAACTAGTTTCTTCTATCTATGTAGTGACTCAGAGATAAAATAGATAAGTATTTCCTAGGTAACACTTCCTGAAAATAAAATAGTGAACAATCCATTGAATTATGCAAAAAGAAAAAAATGCATGAAAAATATTTCATTGAAAACCTCAAACTGTAACCAAGATTTTATAATTACAGGTCTGGAGAATGCACATTTAAATAAAGTCAATATAAGGAGTCAATAATATTGCCTGTTTCAAACACTATTAAAAAAAAAAAAAAGTAAAATCAATGCAGTGCAAGCAATAGTAATATACTCAATCAAGGAAGAAAACCCAAAAAGCCACTGCCATTGAATCAATTCTGACTCAGCGCAATCCCTACTGGGTTCCCAAGGCTGTAAATCTTTATAGAAGTAGATTGCCTCATCTTCTTCCAATGGAGCAGCTGGTGGGCTTGAACCACTACCAGCCTTTGGAATGGCAGCCAATGCCTTACCCACTATGCCACCAGAACTCCTTAACTGAAGAAGAGGAAGCCATAAAGATAATACATTTGAAAAGAGAGAACAGATAACGTTATGGGGCATCTTCTACAAAGACGGATACTGTGGAAACCTTGGGTTCATCTGACAGAGAAAATAGGATAAGGCAAAAACTAATAAAAGTACACCTATACCTTCTCAAAAATTAACTGCATAAAATTCTCACTAGATGTTTTTATCTTTTATAATGCACTATCTAAAAGATTCCAAGAATTCATATAAAACTTTCTATGAAGTTATTTCAAAGATTATTATATCAGGTAAAAGTTACCATATGTAATTAGTACACTGTGGTAGTTAAAGTTATAAGTCCTCTTGGCTGGGCCTGGTTTTGAGTGGCTGGGGAGGTGGATCTAGTTATTTCCCATGGTGAGATTGGTAATCAACTCCCTGGTGGAATCTCCTGGAGCAGCTGAGTTGCTGCTTTAAGGATGTGGGCTGCTTCCAGTATATAAGAAGCAACTTTGAGGAAGGTCTCCACTTGAATCCTGCATGTAGACGAGCTGTTATTCAGCAGCCTGTCATGTTGTCTGCCGATCTTGGGATAGTTAATGGGACTTGAATCAATGGCCTGCTGTGTGGTTTGGTAATATCAGGACTGTGCCATTTTATTTGCCAACCTTGGGCTCGTCAGCCTCAGTAGCCAGCAGCTGCCTGAGTGAAAAGACACCTATAGTTTCAGTGACCTGGGAGCAAGAGGCACAGCTGAAGCCCAAGGTCAAGGCACTTTCACCCAACCCCTAGAGCTTGGCACCTTGAACTCAGACTTCTAGCCACTAAAACTGTAAGAGAATAGATCCCTGTTTGTTTGAGCCACCAATTTGTGGTATATATTCCTGTCAGAGTGGCATTAGGTAACCAAAACATACACTGAACAAAAAATGTGATGAGAATGCACTTTTATTTTTTGTTTCCCATGATCTTTAAAATTTATTATTTTTCTCTGTCCCTGGATGTAAATCATCAATGGCCCCATGACTCTTACACTGATTTTTCTTACATTCATTCACACAGTCTCAATCAGAATGTCCTCTTGTTTTCAATACTTCAGACTTCACTCAAAGTAATAATGACACCCACCACCCCCTCAGATCCTAGCAAGGGTGTCACAAGCATCAGTAGATGGCTTGTTCCTCCTAACCAACACTCCCACCTAATTGCTAATTGCACTTTCAGGCCCTTAAAATACCACAAGTGTGTACTTGACTGGTGCCACTGTAAGATGGTCTCAAGTTCTCCAGGCCTGGCAGATACTTGAAGCTCTTTTTCTCATGGAAATTTTTCTAGCTTATCAGAGACTCAGAACTTCATGGACAGTCTCTCATCTGCAGGATCAGCTATATGATTTATGGCGCTGGAAGCAAATTAAAATGCAGGTTCTCTGTTCAAAAAGTATTAAGAACTTCAAGATGACAACTGTAGAGTATTAAGCCAAGAAGATACCATTAGACCTGTGTAACAGCACAGGATATATTGCTATGAAGTCAGTCCTGCTCATCTGAGTTTCCATTAACTCTCTTCCATTTTCCTAGCAAAGTGGAAACCTCTACTTTCCTTTCTGCTGAGATCCCATCACCCTACTGGTGGCCCTACTGGACAGGCTCTAAGATAATCCTTATACCAATCCACTCCCACACTTGGCAACAGCCACACTTAGCTCAATCAAACTTTGAGAGTGCTGCTGGTACCCTGGTGCAGCAACTCACCTTCCCTTGTTCCATCTTGTAACCTGGAAAGATATGTCTATCCACCTTTAGGATTCACCTACTGGTGGCTACTCTCTCCTAGAAGCATGCAGTCACTTTCTAGAACACCACCAACTGTTTCTCCATCCCAGCAGCTCAGACTAAGAGCCACAGACTCTGTAGCATGTATCAGCTGTCTATTCATACACTTCTAGGTATGTGCCTGCAGGACCTCAGAAGGCACACATCAGTGCCTCCCTCTCTCTGCAAGCACCCGCTTCTTCACATTTGTGTGTGTCTGTGTGTGGCAATGTGTGTTGGGGGTGGAGGTGGCAGCTACTCCTAACAAAGCAACAGCGCTGCTCAAAGAAATTTCTTCACAAATCCTCCTCTGACACTACTTTTCAGCTACTTCATAGCTGCTTATAAGTTAGTCCTCTACTCACTTCAAAAATCTGAACCTTAATCTGGTATCTCATCTGGAATCTGGTATCTAATATTTTAACCAAACTTTTCAGTTTAACAATATATTCATATGTCATCACAAAGAAGTATACATACAGTAAACAAAGAAACCCAAATCCACTGCCATGGAGTCAATTCTGACTCACAGTGACCCCAAAGGACAGAGAAGAACTGCCCTATAGGGTTTCCAAGGCTAAATATCTTTACAGAAGCAAACTACCTCATCTTTCTCCCATGGAGCAGCTGCTAGGTTTGAATCACTGAACTTTTGGCTGGCAGCCAAATTCTTTAACCACTGTGCCACTCCAAAAAAGACAAACCCACTGCCGTTGAGTCGGATCCAACTCATAGTGATCCATCCTTGGGTTTCCAAGGCAGTATCACTACGGAAATAGATTGCCCAATCTTCCTTCTGAGGAGTGGCTGGTGGGTAGAGCTCCTTATATACATAGAGTAGCTTCTCATAAAAGTCTAATCTTAATATATTCATTCACCTCACACTATCAGCTATTTATCATAGAAATACATATAGCATCTTTTTATTTCTTTATAATAATCATTGGGTGTCATATCTTTTAACAAGAAAAAATTATATTTGGATAATGATTTGATGTTTACAAAAGTATTTGTAAATGGTACTTCATTTCTAAGAATTCCTCAAGAAGGCAAGATAGGTATTACTATCTCCACTATTACAAAAAAGAAAAGAGCTCCAACAGTTTAATTGACTGAGGGTTTCAGGAGTAGGTGGTAGAACCAGAACTAAGGCTTTTAGGAGAAAGATTTTATGGGGGTACTAGGTGGGTGTTCATGGGTGTTACTGAAATACTAACTCTGCTAGAGAACATGCAATTAACACAGTAGACTTTGTGAAAGAGATGGCACCTGAGCTGCCTTCAATGGATAGAACAGAGGTAGGAGAGCAAAGAAGTGGAAGATATTTCAGATAGGAGAGATGTGAGAAAAGACACAGAAGCAGTAAGGGGGCGGAATTGTTCTGAGCACAGCAAGTAGTCTAGCATGTCTATTAGCCAGTGTGAACAGAAACCACATGACAGAAAACCACACTGGAAAAATGGAAGGACAGCTTATCTGTAAAGGGATAAGAATGCCAAATTAAGGCGTTTTCATTTTATTCCACACGTGATGAGAAACCATTTACTATGTTTTAACAGCAGAAAGACTTGAACAGACCTAAGTTTTAGCAAGACGATGTAGAACAATTTTTAACATGGTTTGGATAAGGAAGAGAATGGAGATCTTTAAACAAGATTTTCACACAGCTTTTTAAAATTAGTCCTTGTCTCCTGCCTTGAATAAACCCATTTTTAAAAGTTCAAAAATTAAAACAAACAAAAACAACAATTAAAAAAATTCACTTTCTTATGACTTAAATGTAGTGGATAATGGATAAGAAAGCATTGAAGGAAGAGCCAGCCAGCCAACCCGGGTTCAAATCCATGCTCTGTTACTCCTAGCTGTGTGACCTTGAACAATTTATTTTATCCTCTGTGCCTTAATTTTCTTATCTGAAAAAGAAGGTTATTGTGATTGTTAAATAAATTAATATGTATAAATCACTTACAATAGTGCACAGCAAACTAAGTGCTCTGTGTGTGTGTGTTCACTATTATTTTTGTTATTATTCATTCTACTCCTGGGCAGATTTAATAGCCTCGCATTAAAACAAATGAACAAACAACAAAACACACATAACAAAAGACCAGAATGAAGAGCAAATTATAATAATATTTATTAACTAATAATAACAAGTAATAAGTTAGGCTGAAAGGATGCCTACTTACTCCAGTTCAAATATTTTAAGAGCATGCTACAGGCAGTATGTCTATCTTCCATAGCTCAACAGTTGCTAAGTGACAAAGACCTTTGTTAACTACAAGCAGAGTACAGACAAAATAAAATGTCTGGTGAGGTATAATTACTATTAACCACTATTTATTTTCATTGCAATCACCTCAACTTGGACCACCATTATTATTTACCCATTTATTCAAAAGCCACCTATAGAGCACTTTGTATGTACAAGGCAGACTGGTAAATAAAGGATGTAAGTGAACAAAACATGGTCCCTGCCCTAAGAAGTTCTTAAATGTGCTTTATAACAATAGCACTAATGTTGAAAAAATTTCCTAATTCCAGTATTTCTTTGTCAAGATGTCTAGTTAATGTGAATAAATCACATCTGCAACAGATTACTATGGTGAATGCAAGAGATAATTCTGGCATGTCAGGAAAATTTTCTTCTGATTATGCAAATCAGAAAGAATAATATTTTATCTTTAATTAAATAAGTAATACATATATGATAAAATAATTCAAATACTAACAATGGATAGAAAAGGAAAATTTCTCTGTCACTAATCCTTAAAACCCCAGTGCCATTTTCTAAGGTAACTGCGATTCAGTTTCTTTTATATCTTTTCATATAGCATTGTATCTTCCCTATGTACCTATATGAACACAGGCATGCGTACACACACATACATACACAGGGCATATTTAGAGATATTCTTTAAAATATACACCAAAAATACATATACTTAAATGGGATTGTACCATACAAACTGTTCTGTAGCTTGCTCCCACTCCTATTTAACTATTCATGTCAAAGAGTTTCCCATATCAGCAAATAAAGCTTTTTTTAGAGTAGTATCTCCAAACTGTTATTAGAAAGCAGGATGTCAACTCACAAATTAGTCACTCTTACAGAATATCAAACTGAATTTAAAAAGTGGCTGAAATGTTAACTATCTGTATCTTTGGGTTAATTCCAAGTTAAACGACCAAGAAGCAAGAATGAATATCTCGCCATGTTGTTGTTGTTATGTGCCATCGAATCAGATCCGACTCATAGCGACCCCTCCCTGGGTTACTGAGGCAGTATCACTATGGAAGTAGATGGTCCAACCTTCCTTCTGAGGAGTGGCTGGTGGGTCTGAACTGCCAGCCTTCTGGTTAGCAGTCAAGTGGCTTAGGCACTATGCTACCAGAGCTCCTATTCTGTCATAGTTCAACTTTTAAAATTGCGATCTTCTTTTTTTCCCCCCCCAAACATTTACAACATTCTACTGTGGTTTATGGTTTCTGTTCATCAAGGGCCCAAAATATAGTCTTTGAGGAGGCCCGACTAAAAGTTAATGAAGCAACAGGAACTTAGTAGGATATCACTATATGAAAAAACTTTCATCCTTAAGAAAAAGAATCATCTGTTTCATGAGCACAATTATATGCTCTTACCATGCAGACTTCTAATGCAAGCAATGCCAGCCTCAACAGACTTGACAACTTCCCACTCCAGTTGCCCTGTTGGGATGCCACTTGGAGGCTCTTTCTGTAACACATCTCTGCAGCACTCATCATTCCTTGAGACTGATACACATGTGCCAGCCACTAAGGAACAGAAAGGGAGAAGAATACAAAAGACTTTAGTACAGTCTAGTAAATTACTTCCAACAAATTCAATAAACTTTGATGAAATTGTAATTTTTATTTAATTATACCTACTCCACACTTATTGACCATCTCATTATCTGACATTTTGTATTCATGACAACAGTAAAAAATGTACTATGTGACTATTTTGGACATTAATGACATACATCTGGAAGTAATGCTGAAGAGCATGGGGAAAGTAGGTTATGTATCATCTTGGCTGGGCCATGATTCTCAGTGGTTTGGCAGTTATGTAATGGAGTAATCTGGCAGTTATATAATGATGCAACCATCCTCCACTATGTAATTGGATGTGACCATCCTTTATTTTTGCATAACATGAATTTTTGCATACCAATCTGGTCTTTTGAACCTAACCATGTCAATAAATGAGGAGTAGGTTTATTGATATGTTTTGTGCCTGAAAAATAAAAATCACTGCAAGCATGTTCTTCCCTTTTGGCTTTCTAATTCAAGGTCTTTGCACATTTCATTATAATACTTTACTTTGTCTTCTCGAGCTGCCCCTTGAAATCTTCTGTTCAGCTCCTTCATTTCATCATTCCTTTCATTTGCTTTAGCTACTTTCTGTTCAAGAGCAAGTCTCAGAGTCTCTTCTGATATCCATTGTGGCCTTTTCTTCCTTTCTTGTCTTTTTAATGACCATTTGCTTTATTCATGTATAATGTTCCTAATGTAATCCCACAACTCATCTGGTCTTTTGTCACTGGTGCTTAATACATCAAATCTATTCTTCAGATGGTCTCTAAATTCATGTGGGATATAATCAAGGTTGTATTTTGGCTCTCATAGATTTGTTTTAATTTTCTTCTGCTTCAACTTGAACTTATATATGAACAACTGATAGCCTGTTCCACAGTCAGCTCCTGGCCTTGTTTTGGCTAAAGATCAATGAGCTTCTCCATCGCCTCTTCCCATAGATGCAGTCAGTCTGATTCCTGTGTATTCCATCTGGTGAGGTCCACGTATATAGTTGCCATTTATATTACGGAAAAAAAGGTATCTGCAATGAATAAGTCATTGGTCTTACAAAAGTCTATCAGGTGATCCTGGTGTCATTGCTATCACCAAGGTTATGTTTTCCAATTACCAATGCTTCTTCTTCATTTCTAACCTTTGCATTCTAATCACCAGTGATTATCAATACATTTTGATTTGCATGTTATTATGTAATGAAATTTTTAAACAAGAACGTCAAAAAGTTGGCATAACGAGAGACCAGAATAAAGAACAAAGTATAGTAAAATAAGAAGATTCTGTAAAATCTATATCAAAAGGCCCCTTTGACACTTTCCCTGGGGCCCAGTGGGAAATACAACAAAGTGATAAAGTAATTACATGCTTTTTGTATTTTAATATCAGTAAGAATGAACCACATATTGGTAACTGCATATTGGTTATGGTGGATAACAAAAACTAGCTAAAAGGGCAATCTGTTGAATCGGGTATCCTGAAAAAACCTATTTCTAAAAGCACTAAATAACAATGAGAATCTTGGATATGAGTTACTGTAAAGTAGGTAGGGAAAACTACACACAGCCCCTCTAAACGCAGGGGTATACACCATTTGTCATTGTTAGCTGCTGCTGAGTAGATTCCGAGTCAAAGCGACCCCATGTGTGCAACAGTAGGTAGAACCGCTCCCCAGGGTTTTCAAGGCTATGACATTTTGGAAGCAGAGTCCTGGGCCTGTCTTCCAAGGCAACTCTCAGTGGTTTTGAACTTTCAAACATTACAATACCCTTATTATGAAATGTTTGCAACACTTCTTTATTTCTCCTACATCAACCCAATGTAAGAGAGTACTTTCACCATTGTTCTATATTGAGGATATTTATAATCAACAATTAAGAAAGCTTTGTACAATTACAGCAGCAGATCCCAAATTAGTACTCAACTTCCTTAGTTCTTCTACCTATAATACCCTTTATAACTTGAAATTGGAAAATATGAATTTAAAGTCAAGGCAAAGAAAAATGGAACATACATCTGACCTCATCAAAAATCATAGAATACTTTAACTCAGGACTCAGGTAAAGAAAGGAGAGAACTTTACCTGCCAAGCAGGAACAGATGTTGAGTTGGACATGACTGTTTTTTGCAGCTCTTCAAGAACAGCATCTGGGAGAGGTTTTTGTGACTCCAGGAGTGGTTTACACTGAACTTGCCTCAGAAGTAAGATAACAGCTGGCTGATCAGGGTTACTTTTTAAATTCTGAAAATTAAAAGCAAATTGAAATGCATCAAATATGCTCTTAAATGTTAACTGTGAAAGACAAGCTATTTTTCAAGTTGGAAAAAATATTTCTGAAATTAATGTTTTCTTCTTAAAAAGTAAACAACTCTGCAAAAAATGAAATTAAAAAAATAAACGTTGTTGTTGTTGTTAAGTGCCATCAAGTCAGACCTGACTCATAGCAACCCCTCCTTGGGTTTCCAAGGTGGTATCACTATGGAAGTAAATTGCCCAACCTTCCTTCCGAGGAGTATTGGTGGGTTTGAACCACGAGCCTTCTGGTTAGCAGTCAAATGCCTTAGGTATTATGCTACCAGAGCTCCTAAATAAATAAATAAAACTCTGAAATCCTGTTAATATTAAACTGTACATTTAGATATTGTGGTGTAGTAAATTACTTAGTGTGGCTTTTCTAGCCGTAAGTCTTTGTAAACTCTGTGGTGGAATTTGCTGTGAGCAACTGAGGAGCTCCTGATTGTAAAAGTTATCCACCTGGGGTATTTCTGTTGGGCATAACACAAAGCAATGTTCTGGGAGGTTCCTGCTCTCTCTCAGGTGCTTAGAATGCTGATGTTATGATTGGCTAGTTTGGCCACTCTGCCAGGCTCAAAAGGAGGCCTCCTAGAGGCAGAAGAAGTCTCAGTCTCTCTCTGATTGCTGGCTAAGGAAGACATGCTGCTGAAAGAGACACGCGCTCCTGAGACACATGCTGCTGGGAAAGAGACACAAGAGACACGCATTGCTGAGTGAGACACTGACGGACATGCACTGCTGGGAGAAAGACTGTGAGAGACTGTTGGCTGAGGGACGGTGGGGTGGGAGAGAGACTGAGCGTTCTTCCTGAACTTGAATTGTAGCCTGGTGCTTCCCTAATAAACCCCTTAATTTGTGAGTTCTGTGTGGCCACTGCAGTGAATTATCGAACCCAGGAGAGAGGTGGTGGGTGCTCTGGGAGGAACGGTTGGTGAAAGGGCTGGAGGGAGGCAGCATGTCTGGCCTGGCAGGAATAGGCCTTGGGTTATTGATGGTGACTCTGTCTTCCTTTGTGGGATTTACAGGAGATCGGAACATGTGGCCTCCTTGCCGTTTTAGCAGATATTTAGTCAGTAATACTATAATATATATTATTATATTTTTAAGTCGTTTATTTTAAATGTAGTTTGTCCCTTTCACTTCTTTTATTCTTAGGTGAAATCCTGAAAAATTTAAGTTCTGAACATCAATAGCTGAACTAGAAAATATAATAGTAACAGTGAAAACTACCATTATTCCTTACTGAAACATTATATAAAAAGGAAAGAAATACAAACATTTTCCTTTCTCAATCTCTTAACAAAGATATCTAATGTATGTTCTTCTCGTCTGGGCACAGAATTCACTTGTCTCTCAATGATATTCTTCTCTATTTTCAGTTGTTTGGTCATAGTCTTAAGTGTATTTCTGAAAAGTACTTGATTGCTTTCTTCTACATAAGAGACTGGAATAATAAAATAAGGAGGAAAGGTTCATAAAAGTACCACTTATTCTATCAGAGAGAGCACAGCAACTGTTAATCAATGCTTAATAAACACCCACTGTATATTGGCCTGTCCTGAACTTACTTCCATGGACTTCCTTAAATAAAAGACAAAATGTATTATTGTTTTGCAGAAAATTCAAGGACAAACATTTGTTAAAGATCATCAAAGGTGCATTTTCTTTCTCTTTAAAATTTAAACTGATCTTTCTAAACCCATTTCTAAGAAGATAGCACCATCTCCTTGGAGAGCAGTACAGATCATCATGTTGTAAGGAAAAGTCATGCTTAAAACTCTCTGGATCCATTACATTACTTCTGAATATGTTTATGAAACTGATTTGTTCATTCAATAAATACTTATTGAGCCTCTGCTATGTACTAGGCAAAGCACTAAGAATTGAGAAAATAACTAACCTGCATTCACACAGTCCTACAATCTGGCATGTACAAACTGACTGCTGAGAATCAGTTCCAATTGCTCATTTCACAATCACCACAGTCTTTCTCTGTGGTCCAGAAATTTGGAAAAACAAAGAGATACTGAAAACACAGCAGTCTGATAGGAGCAACCAGAAATGAAAGTAAAATATTGTCCCCCTAATCATATTAAAAAAAAAAAATCTATTAATAGCTTGGGTTCTAGAGTCAGGCAAATATGAGTTCAAATGGCAACTCTGTCAGTTTCTAGCTATTAGCTCTGTGCAAATTATTTATCCTCTGTAAGTTTTGTTTTTCTCATTCGTAAAAAGTGAGGATACTAATATACTTGCAATGGCACAGGACTTTGTGAAGGTTAAATCCAAAATGCTAGATGTATTCACTGCCATCCTGTCAATTCTGACTCATAGTGACGCCCACTGGGTTTCCAAGGCTGTGACTCTTTACGGAAGCAGATTGCTCCACCTTTCTTCCACAGAGCAGCTGGTAGGTTCGAACCACTGACCTTCTGTTAGCAGCCAAATGCCTTAATTGGTATGTGACAAGTACTCAGTAAATGTTGGCTGTTATCATCATCACTATCACTACATGCTCTTTAAATAAGCACTCCATTTTTGAAGTAATTTTGGTCTTATCCAAGTAGGACAAGAGCCCATGAATCTCAACACCCAGCTCTGTAACAATACCTGTGTGCAGAGGGCTTCAGCTTCTGATATTCTCCCAGTTTCTATTAGACCAGTGACAGTTAGGGAGAGAGACCACTTTCCAAGAGATTTGTTGTAATTTTCAGGGAATTCTTTGCCTTTAACTATTTAAAAAAAAAAAAAAAGTCAATGTTAATTTCTTCTGCCATTTATAACGTGTTCTCACATGAGTAAAACAGTTGCTAAAAGATACCATAATTAGGCTGATCACGCATATACTATTTTTTAAAATTGCATGTGCCACTGGAGTATCATAGTCTATCCTGATACAAAAGTTTCACGTTAGTATTTGTGGCTAAATAACTTAGGATCTTATCTACTTGTGAATTACCTCAAAAATCACTGAAAATAATTCACTAAAAGACTGTTCTGGTTACCTAGTGCCACTCTGATAAGAATATACCATAATCCATTAAATGGGGAAGAGAATGTTTGTTTAATAAATGGTGCTGGCAAAACTGGAGATCCATTTGCAGAAAAATGAAACAAGATCTGTACCTCACACCACACACAAAAACGAACTCCAGACGGATCAAAGACTTAAATGTGAAATCTAGAACTATACAGTTTCTCAAGGAAAATTTAGG